CCGGGCACCGGGGGCGGTCACTGGGTACGGTGGGACCGAGGGATGCTCCGTGCTGTTCCTGCACGGGTGTCCCCCCGCAGGGTCGGCAGCCACCGCTGAGCGACTCCAGCGTGTGTTTGCAGCATTCCCACAGCCCCGACAGCGGGCAGTGCCCCAAGCCCTGCCCAGGGGATGGAGCACACGCTGTGGGGCTCCCCCTGTATGATGGTGGAGGTTCCAGGGCAGCCCAGGGAACAGCCCCTCTGCACCAGGGTAAAGGGAGGTGTTGCTTCTCTCCACGGGCTTCACACCAGCACTGTGGGTGAAGCCTCAGCAGAGCAGTGGGATGTGACAGTCCCCCCAAAGAGAGGTGGCAGTGTCCCTGTCCTCACGGCCCCTGGGGCACTTACCAATAAACCAAGACTGTGTATTTCATAAACTTGGTCAGTCTGCGATTCTCGAAGAGCAGAGGAATGTCAAGGATCACGTAGCGATAGCCTGTGGAACGGCAACACCCCAGAAAGGGAACAGCATTAACCCCAATTCCCAAATCCCTCATGCTGCACACACACCACAGCCACAAAAAGCAGAGCAAGCAGGAGAGCCCCACAGCTCCATGACCACAACTGAGAGCAGAGCAGAGCCCGTTTGCCCTCCTCCCTCTCGCAGGGAGGAAATGGTTTCGTTCCAAGTTTTCAGAGGAAAAAAACCAACCCTAACCTGGCTGCTCTGAGAGCAAAGGTGAAGCTGCAGAAATATAATGAGGAGCTGAAATGAGAGCAGCAGCTCCTGGCTGGCGAGAGCAGCAGCCGCGTGCCGTGTCGGCCTCTCCCGGGAAGCAGTGCCCACAGCAGGATCTGCTCTCCACTCCTTCTCTCGTCCAAGACTTTGCCAGGCTGTGGTCACTGAGCCAATGTTTTCCAGCTCAGTTTTCCTCCCTTTATGCAAAGCTTTGGCCAAACAGCTCCATTTTTCCGAGGGAAGAGAGGAAACCCTTGCAGAGCTCTCACAGCTGTGACACTGAAACGTGGGGGAGGCTCTGGGCATGGCCCCAGCACCTGAACCCTCCCCAAAACTGGTTTCAAACTGCTGTCATCACAGGGAGCAGAGCCTGTCACAGCCAGGTGCTGTCCCCGCGGGGCCCTGTGGCCCCGGGTTCTCCTTGTGCCTCTGCCCTTCACCAGCTCCTGGCAGCAGGGAGGGAGGGGTAAGCCCTGCCGAGCCCGGGGGAGCAGGGGAGGGGAAAGCTCTAAGTGTGTCCCCCAGCCATGGGGACGCCTCAGATTTTGCTGGTGTCCCCTCTTTATATAACCCACCCCCCCTAAAACCCACGGCAAGCAGAGTCTTGACAAAGACATCATCACCCAAGGAGTCACCAGCGACTCCGCCCTGAGAGGCTTCCTGCTGCCCTCTGGTCGGATCGATACGAGCTGCCTTACGCAGCGATCCTCAGAGAACACATCCAG